AGAAAGCAAGTGCCAAAATTTGAAGATTTTTTCTTTTGAGCTGAACCAAAACTTCAAAATTGAAAACAAAACGGCATCAGTCACCACCATACAAGTAGGAGTTTCAAGAGAGCCATCCTTATATATAGGCCGTTCTTTGCTTGTCTGAAATAGGCAGCTCGTGGATCCCCATCAACATCCACGGTAATCTGCACGACATTCAGAGAAAATAGAAATTAAGAATGATAAAAGCAGGTTTGCTATAGGGTTCAAAATCATTTCATTATCACGTGTTTACCTCGTCAAGTCTAAACTTTGAATGTTAAATGGTTACGAGGCGATCTGTTTACTTGTAGGACCAAACTCTGTCATAATTGTAAACTAGTAGTTTCCAACTTTCCATTCAGTTCCTAGTTATTTGTTACAGTTCGCTATTTTTCGTTAAATGGTACTTAGAGGAACTTTCCAACTTTATTTTATTCGAGAATTGCAAGTCTTTACACCCACCAATCGCCAATTGCTCCAGTACTTCATAAAAGTTCGTAGAACTATTCATCAAACAAATGCGCAATAGAAAACGAAACTTTTCTATCAAATTGATAAACAAAATGAGCAAGCAGGAGGAGAGGCAGTACCAAAAGCACAACCCAAAGAATCTCTGGTGCTTCTCTAAGCCAGAATGCTGAATTTCATCACCTGGGTTCAGTCGAGCATCATCATTCCTCATTAGCTTTTATCTTCACATCCCTCCTCAACCCGTATAGTGATTTGGAAAACGAAGCATCTGCCGAAGAAAACAAACAGAACCCAGAAAACAAAATCAAATTCCTGAACAGAGTAACGACAGAACAGAAGAGAACAGCCACTGATCGATAGAAGAGTCGGAATTCCTGTAGTTCGTAAGCTATGAGTTTCGAGAACGAGCACGAGCAAGGAGAAGAACTCGTCATCGTAGTCGAGAACCCTGTGGAGGAAGGGTCTTCGTAAAGCTAACACCTGTGGTTTTTTGTTGAAATTAATTCGACATTAATTTAAACTTAACTTAATAAACAGAAGATTAAAAGATCAAATTTTTGCAGCATCCCACCAAAACCCAGAGAGGAACAATGAATAGAGTTTCAGAGAAAGGAAGGAAATGAACTTACGCTGATGGAATAGGTGAGGGTGGCGCGGAGACTGGCGGGGAGCTGCTGAGCCGCCTCCATCTCGAAGAAGGTGGGGCGAGTCCCTTGGCCTCCCGCCTGAAACAACATCTTCTTTTGCTGCAGAGAAGGATAATGAGGAACTGTGTAAAAAAACACACTGCCTTCCCTCTGGAATTTTGACAGTCTGAAGTACAAATTTCCACCAAAGCATGCCAATGCCATACAATTATCAATTTATCCATTTTCTATTTGGGAAAAAATTGGGCCCAAATATGGTAAAGCCCAAACAAAGAGACCCTTTTTCTTTCTCATCATATTGATAGTATATAGATGTCGTGTGTGTAGAAACATTCTCAAATACGGGTAATGCGCAACTCATGAGCAAAACTCACCCGTATAAATGGAGAAGGTCTCGAAGTCTTTACTAGAAAACTCAAAGTTAGACGGCCGCCCAAAGAAATGGTCTACATAACCCAGCTTGTAGAAATCAGCTTGACTATGAGTACGCGAATCCTCGAACCCTTCAACTACTCATTCTCCTCGAGCAGACCAGCACGGACGCGCTGCAGCTCCTCCACTTCCTTTTTCAGACAGTCGTTGTTCTTCAAAGCACCCTGGAGCTCCAACACTTGAGGTTCAAGCCTATCAACGACCTTTTTGAAGTGGATCACTTGATTATAAGCAGCGATCAGTTCTTCATCCTTTGCGTAAGCAGTAGAGCGGAGCTCAGAGACAGCACGCTCAAGGTCTTGAATCTGAAGTATGTAACACCCCATCTCTTTCTCTGAACTTTCCTACTTAACTTGGATCATGTCAAGCTTGGTCTTCAAATCCATGATCTCCTAATGAGCAGCCTCAAGCTGCAGAGAAGTGGGGGTAGAGATATTAGACCCTTTCAAAGTGGCAAGCTCATATTCCAACCTTTTGACTTTCTCAGCCGAGGAGTAAGCTTCGGCTGCCACAGTCCTTACCACCTCCTTGGTAGCCTTGGTGTCTTCTTGATCAATGAGGATAGACTCGGTTGCTAGAATCGCCGTTTTCTGCATCATAGCCAGCAGAGCAATCCTTCTATACTCGGTTGTATGCTTCGCAAAGGAACTTGGACCAACAACCCCTTTGACGCCATCAACAAACTTGGCATACACATCCATGTCCTCGAGCAGATTGTTGGAAGTATGCCCACAAAGCCACTCATTTGATGTAATAGCTTTTGGAATACTTATTGTATTAAACTTTTATATGTTTAATGAAGGGCAAAGCTTATTGTTAATCACTATTTATTGTATCATGTGTTTAAGCAATAAGGGAATCCAAGGAATGTATTTGATCTAAGAGACAAGTGATCTAAGTGAGTTAGATTATCGAGACCATTCTCTTATGTTCATTCCTAAAACGTTCCTAGCCATAGGATTGCCAATTGGGCATTGACAATCCGCTAAGGTTAGTATGTGTTATGTTGACTCAAACGTGAGTATGAACTAGTCTCAAGTCATTTGGTGTTGGACACTAAGACAAACACATAGGTGCTCGAAAAAGGTAATCGAGTACATTGAACGACGATCAAAAGAGAGTTCGAACATACATGTCATGTATGAACTCTAAAGTTGCAATATGCAAAGTAGTCCTTTGACCTGAGGCATCATAGATGTCTAATGGTTAGGTCATTGATCTTTGATCATGTCAACGACATTCTTTCGGATTGTCCACGGCATTGTTGGGGTCAAGCTATCTAGTCATGTAGGCATATGAATGCACAACAAGGGATCTCTAACCTTCCATGGTGGAAGGAGAATACTCTAAGATATGATTCTAAAGTCTTTGGCCAAAGCATATGAATATGACTTAGGAAGTTTGTTCCAAATCATATTCAAAGGAATCATATAGGAAAGTATCACATTGGATAGTAGACATGAAACAAACTATCACTTAAACAATGTGATTAAGAGCATTGTATTAGAGAAGGACCGTATTGCATTGTAGTTGTAACTGGATAGGTTCTCCAACCAATTCTACTTAGCTTGGGTAACCATGATATGCTGCTAGGTGTCACTCATGGTTTGTGGAAGCCCTGAAGATTAGCAAACACTAATCTTAAGGGAGAATTGAAATGTGGTTTCAATTCACAATCGATCGTTAAGAGTAACATCGCCCACTGCCTCGCTAATTGGAACCTAATGGATCGCACACCACATAAGGATGTTAGTGAAGAAATTATATGAAATGGATAAGCAATTAAATGGTTTAATTGAAGAATGGTCAAAGTTAATTAATTATACGAAAGGTTCGTATTGGGCTTTTAAGTTAGTTTGGGCTTCGGGGTCCAAAATTGTTTTGGTCCACTAGGCCCATTATGTTTAAGTTGTATGACAACTAAAACAAATATGGGTATTTAGCCCAATAACAAAAGGAGGCCGGCCATAGCAAGGGTAGTGGGAATTTTTGCTTAATTGCAAGTTTGCCACTAACCTAAGAGATGAAGTATAAGGTCATCTTTATAGCTTTGTTTCTCATTAGGGTTTTCTAATAGAAATTGGGTGAAACATTTTCTCTCATTTTCTACATAGAGGCCGGCCACTTAGAGGATTTTTACTAGCATCTAAAATCTCTCTAAGTCATCCATATCATCTTCACAATATACATCTTTGGTGAAGAGACTTAGAGACATCAAGCTTTTGATGTTTTTGGAGAACAAATCCTTTTTCGTCAAATCATCAAAGGAGCACTAAAGGGAGGAAAACACAAGGAGGATTCAAAGAGCTTGGAGGTGACTTGAAGGCCCTCCACTTGGGTGAATCCCTTGTGTAATCAAGGATGAGCTTCAAGGGTAAAGAATCACTTAATCTTTACTTCTCTTTAATGTTGTTAAAGAGTTTATTTTGGTTCACCATATACTAGGCTTTGAAAGTCATGGGTTTTATGAATTGTTTTTTAATGCATGCCTACTTTAAAGTGTTAATAGCTTGCATGAGTATTCAAATGTTCATACTTGTTCTTAGCTAGGACAAAAATTTTCCTTCACAGATATGGTCTCAAGATCACACAAATCTCAGCAGCTTCCCCAGAAACAGACTTGGTGGACTTCTCACAACTGCCTACACAAGCAGTCTCCTTCTTCTCAGCAGGCGAATTAGACCCAACAGCAAGGGGAGAGGGTTTTGGCGCCACTTTGGCAGCAAAGTCTACCTTATCGCTATTCATGGCAACAATTCTGAAGGTGAACCAGACTTAGCCCCCGACGGACGTTTTGGCACAAATTTTGGCACTGGGGGCACATCGAAACTTCTACGCTGAGCAATCTTGTCAGCAATCGAACTAGCCACTTACGGAATGGCAGGCGTCACTAGCACAGATCTAGCATCCTCTTCTTTCTTTCCCTTGGAGGAAGTCAAGTCAATCACGAGCTTGGGGGCAGCTGGCAAACCTTCACAAGCAGCGGAAGAAGTCTTTAACTTTTTCTCAGCCGGTATCTCCTAAGCAGGTAGGGAAGATCTCTTATTTCCATCTTCATGCACGGCAGGCTCAACTATAGTGATCGGACGAGCCAACGTCTCAGCCTTGGTTGGTTGTGAAGTACCAAGTGTTGCACCTTTTTTTTTTTTTTTTAAGATTTTGTTGTTCAAATTTGTTATATTTTATGTGGGTTTTGTTGGAGCAGTTATGTTTTTATTTAAATATTTTAAATATATTTATATTTTGGTTTATTACAAACATTAAATATAAAACATAAATTGTTATCAACCTTTGATGGCAGACAGTTTTGCATTTGATTCCCTACGGTTTTGCATTTGATTGCAGACAGTTTTGCACCCCATAAATCCCCATAAACTTCCTAGATTTCTTACGGTTTCACATCTTCCAAAGTCTATTTATATATCTATGTATAAGGATACAGAAATATATGTCAGTTAGCCGTGGAGTAGAAATAGTAGAAGAAAAAAAAGTTTTAAATATATTAATTTAAAAAGCAACATATCAAAAAGGTTTAGTTCGAAGGTTCTTCCGGTGTGCAAGGAAGAATCTTATCAGAAGAAGAAGCTTCTAGGCTGTTTTATCCTGGGAACAACGTGGTGTTTGTGAACTGCTTGCACACTTTGGGCAGAGCCGCGAAACGTCTTAAAGAGAGCGACTTAGTCCGCGACTCATCCCAAGAATCATTCACCACTCAAGGATTCTACATTTTTCGGGTAACTTTGTTCTTTTCTATTTCAGTTTACAACAGGTTTAATCAAGGAATTTGGATTACATTCAAGAAAACTATCATTTATAAATGATCATTTTTTACTAATTCTGATGTGGGCTTGCTGTGGTTTAAGTTTCAAATTTGTAGTAGTTTCATATTCTCTGTTTTTGAGACCAAAATTCTGCTTGATGATCACTTTTTTTTCCTTCCTCATTTCCTCTTCTTGATATAGAATCAATTAGCAGTTGGTCACTTGGGCAAGTCTGATAAGAATTCGGGTGTTCGTATGGCATTAGTTGATGCGAAGATTGCACGAAGAGGAGATTTTTCCAAGCCTTCTGACATCCTGGTATCTAAAACTACTTTTGCCATACAGTGACTTAAAACAAATTGTAAATGTTTGTCTTCTTTGGAATGTAGACGATGTTATGAAGTTTCAGGCTACTTAATAACATTTTTTGTTTTGTTTTTATTTGGCAGCATTTGATCTTGTTCAAGGAGCACACGTAAGGCTTTGTATTCCTTAATCTCCTGATAAGGTGACATATAGTGAGTTTATGACTGAGAACTTGATGCAATTGTTGTTCAGATTCTAACCCATTTATATAAAAATTGCGTACTTTTGTTCTGCCCCACTACCTATGTTAAAATTTAACAAACAACTAAATTAAGGAGCAATCTCAAATGCGCTAGTCAGTGAAGATGAGAAATCATGAGGAGTTGCCGCATAGTTTATGTTTATTATTTTTGCATATTCACATATCTGAATAGTCATAGTTTGCAGGTAAAATGGAGTCCGGCTGTGGTTGTGGACAGGTCGTTACCTGAGCCTCCAACAGCTGTTTTTCTGCATGGAATTCTAGGTAGCAAGAAGAACTGGGGTACGTTTGTTCCTTTCTCTTTCTAATGTCATTTCACTTCCATACTTCTTCAAAATTGGAAGATAGTGAAAGGAAAAGCATTTCTGGATTCATCTGGACTACTTGTCAATGCCTTGAAATTGTGAATCTTGTGCGTTTTTTATTCCTTTACTTACAATTCACCCGAGCAAACCAACCCTCCTCCAAGAAGATTTGTGCTATGTCCCCCCTAAATAGTCTTTGGCTTTATCCGTAATGTCTGATATTGCAGGAACCTTCACCAGGAGATTGGCACAAGAATTTCCGACATGGCAGGTATTGTCCCCTGGTTTTGTACTTTAACTTATAATGAATGAAACATGTATTTATGTGGTAACGCTTATAACATTTAATTTTCTTATAGAATTCTAACATGGCAGGTATCGTCTAAAGCTTTAGAGAGATTATATTCATACCTCTCAAATTATTTCTTTTATATTTTTTTAATTTTTTAATATTTATTTATCAAATGCTAGTGGTGTGTAGAAAATATTAAAAAATTAAAAAGATGTGAGAGAAGTAATTTGAGGTGTGTGAATATAATCTCTCAAACGCGATTTGAATTACCACAAACACAAGCACCACTGGTACAAATCTGCCAAATGACACTCAACAGACCTATATCGAGGCACACACAAAATCATCACTAACAAACGAGATCACATCACTCACCCCTGGGCGGGTAGTAGTCCACCCAAAGCCTGAGAGCTAAACCCAAAATCCTAAGTTTTAAAACGGTGGTTCTACACCTCAAATTATTAAGTCCTAGACCATGCTAAAGCCTACACTTATAACTCCCAATAACCCCTTGTAACCATAGATAATTTGCAAAAGTTTTTAATGCAATACTTTAATTGTCTCAAGGGGATAGAAGAAAAATGGAAACAAAAAAAACTTGGGAGCCATTTAGGATTGATCTCTCACTTGGGGTTCTTTTAAATAATTTTCCATAGTTTTGTGACTAATTTAATTAAGCATATGTACTACTTAGCCTGTTTTCACTACTTACGCTTGTAAAGCATGTTTTCTGTGTTTTTTTGGGTGTGTATTTAGATATATTGTATAAGGAATTTTTGTATTTGGTCATGGTGACAATCTTATGTTATTTTTTTTTTATTTGCAAAGTTTCTGTTAGTGGACCTGCGGTGTCATGGTGATTCAGCATCAACTAAGAAAAGGGGACCCCATAGTGTTTCATCCACTGCGCTTGATGTCCTAGAACTGGTACGTGTTTCTTGAGCACTTGCTGTCATTATTTATGAAGAACAAGTTTGCCCCATTGTTATATATTAACTTATATTTTTTCAAGAAAAGTTTCAGTTATTGTTCTGAATTAGTTGAATCTCACAGCCTTCATCTGTGTTTCTTATGCCTATATTTTTCTTTCGTACTCGCCTTGCACACATTTTTATAACTTCGTTATCATTTGCACAAACAGTGTTGTATGCTCAGCATTTGAACACTCCCAGATGTTTGTATATTTTTGTCTAGTACCTTCCCATGCTTCAGATACAATTATGTAAGGTAATGTTGATTCTTCTTCTTGATTAGGTTCGACAGCTTAGATTAACACCTCGGGTTATAGTCGGACACAGTTTTGGAGGGAAAGGTATCTTAGGTTATTTTGGCATGTTGCGTCTTTTATTGGAGAGTGCTAGTACACAGTAAATCTACACCATCTTAAAATCTATTGATGCTTACTATGTTTCTGATTTTCATGTAGTTGCCTTGAGCATGGTGGATCAAGCTGCAAAACCTCTTGCACGACCAGTCAGAGTAAGTAATGGGAATGTATTGAATATATATCCCAGAAAGTTTGAGTGTCTCTGGACATTATCCTTCCATTTGTCTTACTAGTTGTTTGTCTAGGTTTGGGTTCTAGATGCTACGCCTGGAATAGTTCGTCCTGGTGCGGGTGGGGAGGACCATCCAGAAGAATTGATATCTGCCCTAAGGTCATCTCCAACCGAAGGGTTCAGAGGGTCAAAAATAGCCTTAAAACTGTCTCCAATCGAGGGCTAGGCCAGAGAGCTCGTGGGTCCCACAGAATCTGAAAGGGTTAAAGGGCCAAAGGGCTAGCCAGAAAATCAGAGCAATCATGTCGGTTATAACCGACAGGATTGCTTAAAGAAAATTTTGAATCCAACGGCTAGCTGACGCCAGCTAGCCATTATTTTTTAATTTTTTTTCTTTTACAGTTTTATTTTATTTTTTTAATTTACAAAATGTTTCCTATAACTTCTATTTTTTTCTATAACTTCCTATAACTTCTATTTTACAAAATTTGTTTCATATATTTTTTTAAATTCTAATTTTTTTTCCCATAACTTCTATTTTACAAAATTTGTTTCCTATTTTTTTTTAAATTCCATTTTTTCCTATAACTTCTATTTCACAAAATTTATTTCATATTTTTTTTAAATTCTATTTTTTTCCTATAACTTCTATTTTACAAAATTTGTTTCATATTTTTTTTCCTATAACTTCCTTAGCTATTATACAACATTAAATTAAATTAAGTAACATGAAACAACATTAAACAATATGAAACAACATTAAGTAACTGTTTGGGCCCAAAATAATAGTTTGGGCCGAGTGTAGAACCATTCTCGGCCCGGAAGGCCTTGCGACAAGAAGACCATGGATCGTTCAGCTTATGGGCTTCCAAACCTAGGCCGGTTAGGTCAAAATGCAATGACAAGTCGAGTCCTGCTACAATAGGGATTCTCGGCAGGATTAACAACCGAGAAGCGGATAGGGCTCGAATAAGGACTAGGTTCACAATCCTGATGAAAATAGGACTGGTCGAGGTGATATTGATCCGGAGAGGGAAAACCTAGTCCGAATAGGATTCTATCTCAGATTCGGGGTCCAGTGCTATAAATAGTGGAAGCTGTGCATCAGGAAGGCCCCCACAAAATCAATACAAAATTGCCCTGCGCAAACTCTCACAACTTGAGATCTTTTTCTTTTCCTTTTTCGCTGACACATCTTCCGTTGGCATCAACAGCACTGTGGAAGCAACCGGTGATATCTTAAGTCGGCATAGATAGCTCTGTCACCGTAGAGTCGGTCGGTCTCGCAGTATCTTCCGTTGGCATCAACAGCACTGCGGCGAGAACGGTCGATTACCTATCCAAGTCTCGGTCGAGAAGGGTTTTCGAATCCTTGTTGGTCGAGGTCATCTCATTAGCCTTCTCGGCGAGGTGAGGTGTCACAGTTATTACATTCGGCACATTGCAAGCCGAATTCGGTTCGTGAATTTTGTAAGAAATAGCAGCCTTGTCTTCAGGCTCGAGAACCCAAGAGGCCGAGACGTGTTCCTTTCTCGGCCGCAATCGCAAGACGCAGAAGTCAGTAGCGCGACCCAACGCAGCATCATCAAATTTACTCCTCGGCCGAGCCCCGGCCGACGAGTTGGCACGCCCGCAATCACCGAAGGACGTAGTTAGCTTAGAATATACTTGGCCTGCGCGCCACGTAGGCTTTGTAATTTCTAGGGTCAACAGTAACATTAACCAACATAAAAGTTATACAACATAAAAAAAACATTTAACAACATTGATCTTAAACAACATTTTTAAAACATTTAACCACATAAAGCTTAAACGCCTACTCCATACTTCTTTTGGCCCAAAGATGTGCAACAAGATCCTGTTGTAGGTACTTGTTTGTGGCATGAGAACGTATCATTCTATAGCACCTCATGTACTTATTTATAGAGATACTACCAATTCTTGAATTGAAAGACAAATTAGGCCCATCATATATTTTTGCACGAGCCCTTCTTGACCTATTTGTTGTGCCTTACTTGAACTTCATCATCAGACTCTTCATCTTCTCGTCTCATTTGCGCCCATTTTTCTTCCAATTTGGAATTGGATGAGGATCCCTAGTTGGAATCTGAAGAGGATCCAAAGTTGGAATTCATTGCAAACTTGAATTGAAAGAGATTGAATTGAAATAGATTGAATTAAAAGTTGTGTGAATTATAGCCTAATATCCACCCTATTTATAACCAAAAAAAAAATAAATTCAAATCCAACGGCTAGTTGACGTCATGCTGACGTCACTTAGCCGTTGGATTTGAAATTAAGTTGTAGTTTTGAAATAATAAATTATGTTTGGCCCTATAGCCCTTTGGCCATCGGTTGGAGACGATTTTTGTGATAGGGCTAAAACGAGCACTATGGCCCTCGATTGGAGATGGAAGCAAATATGGTCATATACTGTTCATTAAAATATTAATATCTTGAAGGACTAGATGGCTAAAACGAGCTTTCTGGCCAGCCCTCAGTTGGAGATAGCCTAAGTACACTACCAAACAAGGTGAATACATGTTAATAGTTGTTTCCTTTTCTTTTTTAGCAAGTTGGGCGCCTTTAAGTTCTGTAGTCCATTTATTATTTAATTATTTATCTTTAGTATGTCTTTCCAGCCCCTTATTATCATCTTTTGTCTCTCTCCGTTTACAACTCTTAAGTTTAATTCAGGTAATACACCTTGATATCGGATCATTGTTAATCAGTTTATTGCACACATTTTGGGTCCTACTGAAAGTGATACATGTGTACCTCTACAGTGACCAAAACCTGAAAAGGGTATCATTCTCACTGTGTTTGTTGTAAAGACTTTTGTTAATGTGTATGGGCCAAACTCCATATGCTGAAAAATGTTTCCATCCTCGTTTTGTTCGTTTCTGTGTAAGATTGTCATTCTACCAATTTGTCTTTCAATAAAAAGTTCATCCTACCTGTTTATCTTAAGAAAACTTTAACGAAAAGCTCCCGGTACTGTTCACTTTAACGAAAAACCATATTTTTACACTAAAAAGTCAATCTTGGTACTATTCACTTTACCCTTTATTTTGTCTTTATCGTTAAAAATTCAAAGTTTTTAAGCTATTTTCATTAGTTTTCTTAAAGGCAGGTTTCCTCAAAGCGGGATGTTGTGGATGCTCTAGTTCAAAAAGGATTCTCCAAAGATGTCGCACAGGTACCTCAAACTGTGAGACATGCTTGAGGGGAATAATTTTTAGTTGGGGCTTTGAAACTTTTTATGTGTGGATCAGTTTGGTATTCCTTTTCTGCGACATTAATACTTGGCCTAATTCGCTTTGTCATAAGTTTTTGCATATTTGGTCGTTACATTTTGTTTCTTTATTGATAGCACCTATCTAATTTTCAAGTTTAACAGTGATGCATATTTGCTCGTTATGTTAACCGACTTTGTGGGAAAAAAGGGTTCCAATCCCATCTTCTGCTACCATTCTGTGTCTCATTATTTTCACTATATCGTTTTCACTTGATACTCTTGTGTTCTTTTTGTCTTGCAGTGCAGTTGATTTTCCTTTTTTTCTTCTTCTATATGCCTTCAGGATTTTATTTTATTGCTATTATATGCTGTTTCATGTGCAGTGGGTGGTTACTAATCTTCGACCAACCAATTCTCTTGGTTCATCACCATCAACCTTCCCATGGGTGTTCGATCTGAAGGGAATCGCTGAAATGTACAAATCCTATGAAGAAACAAATTTATGGCAATTAGTTCATATCCTTATCTTTTGGATTATTTTTATATATGACACAGGAGTCAATATCTACCGGTTAAATATCCTTTTAATCAACCAAAATACTGCCCATTTGTCTGAGCTGGTGGTATTCTTTCATGAATTGTATTTTCTTTTATATTGTGTTCATTTTTTATTCTGGATGTGCATCAAACTACATACCCTTCAAATATTGAAACAAAAAGGACATTTTCATTTTGAAGTTATGTCTGCTTCAACTTTTTCCCAATATCTCGAATGTTAAATTTGCAGTTGGCTCTTATTGGATCGGATCATTGTAGGAAAATTGTTGAAGATGTGCCTCGAGGTGTCCATGTAAACATTTTGAAAGCAGAAAGGAGCTTGCACAGATGGGCTTTACGAGATCTCCACAGAATTCACGCGGCTAAGTGTCAATAATGTAATTGTGCAGCAACAATGGAGGAAATGTATCGAAGAGACAACCAAACAGAGAGAGAGAGAGAAAGGAGGGAAAAAGAGATAGGAGGGAAAATTTCAGTTTTTTTCACATTACATTCAATTGTGATCCACCTGTCCTATAAATACAACACATTCTTAACTAACTCCAAGAGCCTCCAATACATTTGTGACACATGGCTATATCCTCCACACACACACACATCATACACTTATATCCTAACATTCCCCCTCAATCTTATGGGAGGTACTACCAAGCATAAGATTGTTACAATGAGAACTAAACAAAGGAAAACACAACCCTTTGGTAAAAATATCAGCATGCTGATCTGCAGAATGAACAAACTGCAACATAATGGAGCCTTGCTGAACACGTTCACGAACGAAATGACAATCAATTTCGATATGTTTAGCTTTGGAATGTAAGACAGGATTCGTAGCCAAGGCCATGGCAGAGATGTTGTCACAGTGAAGAAAAGGAATATCATGACAAGGAATATGTAAATCCTTAAGCAACTGTTGTAACCAAACCACCTCTGCAGTGGTGGTTGCCATAGCACGGTATTCAGCTTCAGTGGAGGATCGACTAACAATGTGCTGCTTCTTAGAACTCCAGGAGATAAGATTACACCCCAAAAACACTACGAAACCGGTTGTGGACCGCCGGTCATTGGGATCACCCGCCCAATCAACATCTGTGTAGGCTTTAATATCCAACATACCAGGTTTAAAACATAAACCAAGAGACATGGAACCTCTAAGATATCGCAAAATGCGTTTGACAGCAACAAAATGACTCTGTAGAGGCGAGTGCATGAACTGACAGACCTGATTGACAGAATAAGCCACATCCGGTCTTGTAAATGTCAAATATTGAAGGGCCCCAACAATACTTCGATAAAGCCCTGGATCAGGAAATGGAGGACTACCATGATTGAGTAATTTTTGGTTGGGATGACAAGGAGTAGTACACGGCTTGCTATCCAACATGTTGGTCTTCTTGAGTAAATCAGAAACATACATGGATTGATGCACAAGTAGACCATGAGGCTGATATTCAATTTGAAGACCAAGGAAATAGTGAAGAAGCCCTAAATCCTTCATATCAAACTCACTAGTTAATTGAGTAATCACTGCTTGAACTTGGGTCTCATTATCACCACTAAGGATTATATCATCAACATACAGTAATAAGACAACCACAGATTGACCATCATGCTTCACATATAAAGAAGGGTCAGCATATGAAGACTTGAAACCCAAGGTAAGAAGAAACCTGGTAAAACGTTCATTCCAAGCCCGAGGGGCCTGTTTAAGACCATAAAGAGATCTGTCCAATTTGCACACAAACTTAGGATGATCAGAATCAAAAAAGCCTTGTGGCTGACACATATAAACCTCTTCATCAAGAAAACCATGCAGAAATGCATTTTTAACATCAAGTTGTTTCAAGCGCCATCCTTTAGTTGCAGCTAAAGATAACATGAGCCTCACTGTAGTTGGTTTAGCCACAGGGCTAAAGGTTTCATAATAATCAAGTCCTGCCTCTTGAAAAAAGCCTTTGGCCACTAACCTGGCCTTGTAGCGAGCAATTGTGCCATCAGGATGGGTTTTGATCTTGTAGATCCATTTACAACCAACCAAATTCTTGTTAGGAGGAAGAGGTACCAATGTCCACGTTTTCTGTTTAACCAAAGCTGCCATCTCTTCTTCCATGGCATTCCTCCACTCAACAGACTTGGATGCAGCTGTGAAAGACTTTGGTTCTTTATCATGAGAAGAATCAACTTGAGCAAGGAGAACCTTTTTCTTAAAGATGCCAGACTTGGATCGGGTTTGCATCGGATGGGAATTGATCTGAGAGACTGAAACATGTTGCAGGTCGGGGACTTGAGAAATGGTGACATCAGGATGAATGTCAGATAATTCCACATAATGTGAAACGGTATCCACCAATGGAGAATTGAGAGCAGGAACAAGATCACCATGTATAGGAGATGAGGACTGAGTAACATTATGGTTTGAAGCAGTATTGGTAGGTGACATGGAACACTCAACATGAGGAAATGGAACAGGAATAAGGGAGGGATGCTGAAAGGTATTAAAATGAATAGCCGGAGTGTGTAACACATGGGAATGTGAACTAGTGGACTGCATTGGTAGATTGGGAAAAGTATTCTCATAAAAAACAACATGCCTAGAGACAATCAACTTATGATCTCTAATAGCATAACAAATATACCCTTTATATTGAGCTGCATATCCTAAAAATATGCACTGTGTGGTTTTTGGGACCAACTTATTTTGTCTATATGGTTTCACAGTAGGATAACAAGCACACCCAAACACTCGTAGATGATCAAGTTGAGGAATAGAGTGATACAAGTCTTCAAAAGGAGAGTGCATTTTAAGACAGGAGTAGGCATTCTATTAATAAGGTAAGTGGTTATGGCACAAGCATGAAACCAAAACTTGGAAGGAAGTGAGGCTTGTTGAAGTAGGGTGATTGCCGTCTCAACTATGTGTCTATTCTTCCTCTTAGCCAACCCATTCTGTTTAGGAGTATAGGGACAAGACATTTGATGTAAAATACCATTGGTTTTTAGAAACTTTTGAAGGACAGACCCAACAAACTCCCCACCCCCATCACTTTGCAAAACTTTGATATTAACAGAGAAGAAATTGTGAATAAAAGCATGAAACTGAATGAAAATGTCACAAATTGCAGCTTTATTAATCATTGGAAAAATCCATGTATATCGGGTACATTCATCTATAAAGGACACATAGTATCTATGTCCTTCCATAGACATGACAGGTGCAGGGCCCCACACATTAGTGTGTATGACCTTAAAGGGTACATTGGATTTGGATGCTACTAATGGAAATGGCAATTTGGTAAACTTGCCTTGCAAGCAAGAAACACAAGTTTGAGGTACGGAATTACAAGGTAAGGAAATAGCTGACTTACTAAGAGCTAAACGAACTATAGAATTGGTTGGATGACCCAATCTGCAATGCCAAAGAGTCGCATGCACTTTCTGTCCAAGATATGCTGCAGGTTGAAGTTGGGGTGGTTTGAACAATGGAAGAGGGTAAACGACATTATTACTTAGTCCGTGGAAGAGTACCTTGTTGGTGACCTTGTCCTGTATACACACAGAAAATTCATTAACAATACATCGACGGTTATTGTCTTTGCATAACTGATACATAGAAAGTAAATGTTGAGATAAATGTGGAACACAAAGCACTTTGTTTAACTGAAGCTTATGAGAAAGAGTAGTAATACAAGACTGCCCGATATGAGAGATAGGTAAACCTTCTCCATTAGCCCCAGTGACCAATTCATGTGTTGGATATGGTGTAGAAGCTTGCAAATTTGACAGCTCGGAGGTCATATGGTTGGTTGCACCGGAGTCAAGCGACCAATACTCTTGTCGTGGTGCAGATGGAGAACGATCAGTCCTTGCAGTGAAAACCATAGGAGAAGGAGCTTGCGGTGCCATAGATGGAGTCGACGTATATTGTGAAGACATATGCTGCATAGGATGCTGAATCTGTGAACCAGAAGCTGGAAACTGCTGAGAGTACATAGGTTGAGGCATGGACATTGGTGGATTTCCCCTATCAAAACATGTGGCCGCAGTGTGACCCACGCGATTGCATATTTGACACCACGCTGAAAGCAATAAAGTGCAGAATAACCTTTTTTGTCACAAATCTGACAGATTCGCATAGGATTATAAGATTGCACCGATGATGATTGAGGACTAACATTTTGAAAAGTAGCTTGAGATTGAACATTTGGGGAAGTAGAACCCTGAAATCCAGCATTAAACTTTTTGCCCTTACCTTTATACCGGAAATTGTTCCCCCTGAAGTTGTTGTAAGTTCCAGATCCTGTTTGTGAAACAAAAGCATATGGTCCTGGAAGAGGCAACTGCTGAAATTGTGTAGGCTGAGGGACTTGACCCATTGGAACCATATTAGGCATTGGAACCAGCTGCGGCAGTTGAGCACCGTGCATCATTTGAGAACCAGGAAGATATGGATATTGATAAGATGGAGAGCCAGAGAAAGATTTTGCGCCAGATGTCCCACCGGACTCATACATAGAGCTGGAATGATTTGCATACATTGCAGTCATCAGTGGCTGTTTAAATCCCTTTTCAAGTGTTGTTTCTTCAGCCTTTAACTGTGACCTGAGTTCTTTCAAAGAAACAAGGTTTTCTCTCCCTCGAATAACAGCCTTTATAGTATTATACTCAGGTGGTAAACCTCTAAGAGCAACAATAACAATGTCTTCATCAGACATATTGACACCAACTATAGCTAACTGATCTCTGCTATCTTTGATCCTTTGAAGATAAAGATCAATGGATTCAGCCCCTTTCTTAATGTTCTGTAAATCAATCTTCAGCTGGACAATATTCGTTCTAGTCATGCTAGAGAATCTTTCTTTCAAGTTAACCCACATTTCCTTGGCACTTTGACAGCCGATAACACAGGATAATGCCGCAGGTGACAGAGTTGCAGTAATGAGAGTCATCAAGGCTCGATCATGAATTTTCCAAACTTTGTAAGCATCAGTTACAGAGGAGGTATCAAACACAATACCAGTAGCAGTCTCAATTGCATTATATTGGGCAGGACAGGGAATAGAATCATCAAGAAACCCCATAATGACATTGCCATCCAAGAGCAATTCAATTTGAAAATTCCAGGTAACATAGTTCGAATCATCTAACTTGGCCGTAACCGTATTTCCAACACTTGGTATGAGGGAGGAAATAGGAGATTGAGTAAGGGCTAACTGTGCAGTCGTTACCATGATTAATCACCAATGAACAATTTGTGCAAGAACCGTAAGAACACAAGACAATCAACAATCTTCGACAAATCAACAATTAACTATGCGAAGAAAACAATCAGCACCGCAATCAACATCAATATTCACAAATAGAAGCAAGAAATCATCAATCCTCAAAAAACGAACAAGTCCACCAACAATCTTCGACAAATCAACAATCAACAAGGCGAAGTAACTAAGCAACACTGCAATCCACACCAAGATTCACAAATAGAAGCAAGAGATCAAGAAGCGCAACTGATACCTTCAACCAAAACGACGAAGTGCACCAGTATCCAAAAACCCCAAAAATCTAGGGTTTGAGTAGGCAACCGACTACAACGAGAAGACAACCGACGGCAAGCAACCAACACTACCGGAAGAAAGACGAAAAGTGGAAGCACCGGGATCGTCAGGCGACGACGTCAGCCATTGCTGGCGATGATACCATGTCAACAATGTAATTGTGCAGCAACAATGGAGGAAATGTATCGAAGAGACAACCAAACAGAGAGAGAGAGAGAGAAAGGAGGGAAAAAGAGACAGGAGGGAAAATTTCAGTTTTTTTCACATTACATTCAATTGTGATCCACCTGTCCGGTAAATACAACACATTCTTAACTAACTCCAAGAGCCTCCAATACATTTGTGACACATGGCTATATCCTCCACACACACACACATCATACACTTATATCCTAACACTAAGGAGCTTGCTGCTGAGGAAGCAGGTGGTGTGGAAATGCATGTCCTTGAGGATGCAGGCCACTGGGTAAGTTGCTTTACAGTTTAGAGTGAAGCACACAATATGGAACACTTGTGTTTGTATATGTGCACGCATATATATATATATATATATATATATATATATATATATAAAATCATTCACAAGATATATTAGAATCTTAGAGGTTCCGATAGATCAGTATTGGCTCCCGGACTCCTGGGCGAGCATTTTGGGCATGGGAATCATAATTAATGTATTTTCTTTTGAGCGGTTATTTGGGTTAGCAGTTTTAGGATTTATAATTTTGTGCAAAATTAGTGTCGTCGTTCAGTAGTGACACTTTCTTTGCTGCAATGCTACTGATTAGTATCATAGGAACTACTTGTAGTCATTTTGGACAAGGGAATTCGTAGTTTTGGGGAAGTTGTGTTTGTCATACAGTCATGCACATGTGATTCTTTGGTATTGTTAATGCAGTCTAGAGTGTATAAGATGCTGCTTAAAACATCAAATTGTTTGACACAATTTGCTTGTAACTTGCATGAATGGGATAATATCAACTGTACTGTAATTGCTAAATCTGCAGCGTTGCTCATTTTCTGTCCTTTCATTTTCAGGTCCATGCTGATAATCCGGACTAGGGATGGGCAAATACCCATTGGTTATGGGTAACCGTGGTTATCCGCCCATTTAAATTTGACAGTTATGGTTATGGGTAACCGTTTAGATAAATAAACGGTTATGGGTATAACCGTTTACCCGTGAAATTTAAATGAGCGGTTATGGGTATTACCCGCGGTTGTAAACGGGTACCCATTTAACCATTTATTTTAATATATGTAAAACTAAAAAAAAAAAAAAATTAGTTTCTAGATAAGTTTAGTATCCCGAAACATATTTGGCTATAAAAGGCCATAATATATATATGCCTCACTTGAGAGAAAAATATAGTTGATAGAACGGACCAATGTTTAATATATGTGATTGAATGTGCTAAAGCATTAGAGTGTTCGACAGTTTTGGAGTCTTTTGGAGCTTTGGCCAATTCAAGATAATGATTACTTCGAGCTTTTAGAAACATGTTATTGTCGGCTGATACGTACCTATATATATATATATATATATATATAATTGGCCTCGAGTTTTCATTAAGTATTTGACCCAAAAATTAGAAATCAATTAAATGGCTTGGATCGATGAACATATGTTTCTAAATAAAAATCCAAATATTTATCAAATTAGCTTATTAGCAGACTGATGCGTATTTACATATATATATATATATATGTATGTATGTATGTATACAAGAATATTAATTAACCTACAACCATGCATGATTCTTGTAATAGATTGACCGTCAAATAATTGGGAGACATCGCATATATTCATAAATAATATTGCCGCTAATACAAAAAATCATGTTAAATGTATTTATAACGGTATTTAATTGTTAGAAAAAAGAAAATTATGACAAATTTCTTTTGGCAAATTTTATTTAAACTCATGCAATCTCTTTTTACACCCAACTTAAAATTTTGAATGTTAATTGTCTATTTTACTCTATTGTATAATTACTATTAGGTACAAAATGAAATTAATAATAAAACTCAAATTTATCAATAAACCCAAACACTATAATTAAACCCTACGATCATTCTTTGTTTATCCTACGTTAATTCTGGCTAAAACCCTAATAGCTCTCATAGAGAAAAATAAGTTTTTCTATTGATGGATGGTGATTTTGAAGTTTTGAATCCTCCAACCAAGGTATGACTCAATTTATGAAAGAAGCTTTTTCATTTAGGATAGTTTGAGTTACTATCTACCTGGATTCCAAACGCCAAATAGAACGCAGTTTGTTGCTAGTTAATCATAATCAGGAAAGCAACAATTTCCCGAGTACATTACACCGTTAGGGAACATATATAGTTCGAGATCAGATTAACAATTAAGCTCAAACAGTTCCACAATACAACATAACAAGGGGACATTTTTTCAAAGCTTCTCACAAGATATGAGGTCCGAATATCTGCTGAGAGAAAACATTGCACCTCCAAAGATGTCCGCTGAGCTCTTTAGGTTGGGATTTCGATATTGTAATTTGCAGTAGTTTCAAGGTACTGGTTGTTGCCAAAAGTAGATAAGAGCCAAAATTTCTGCTGCATCTTTCCAAGAATTCTTAAGATCATATTCTTCAAAAAGGCTAGTGCTGCTGAAACCAATCTTTGGTTATCACATATCGTGCTCCACCGGTACTCAAGAATCCATGTATTCGGATCTAGCTACACAACTGAGGCACCCCAACTTCTCTGCACCCAGGAAGTGTTTGGCTTCCGAATCACATACCTATCGACCTTTCCATCCGACCACTTCTCAACAACAACAATGTGGCAAGAAAATAGTATATGTTTGTACATCATGACACAAAACTCAAAATATCTCAAGGCTGACCATACAACACAAACATAAATAATCTAGTAAAAACGATTTCAACTTTACCTATGTGACTATGCCAGATAAGATTGTGAAAGACCGGGAAGAAAACTCACTCGTGAGCAACCCGGCGGTCTGCAAACCATCCTAAAATTTCAAGTTTATCACCGAATAATGCTGAATTGCTATTAAACTTGCATATTTATACAATGTGCAATGTGAGCTTAGAAGCAAACCATCCTAACATTTCAAGTTTGTGAATTTTGGAACAGACATTTCAAGTTTATCACCGAATAATGCTGAATTGCTATTAAACTTGTAAAGCAGAAGTTTGATTACCAAGTACCTGACTAATGTCCTATATAGAACTAGGATAGCTACAATTTGAAACCCTCCCAGGAACAAGACCCTACATCTCTTTCTGCAAGAACCTCAGCTTGCCATTCATATCATCCACAACCCAAGATTTTCACTAACATTTCTCACCATCTCCGGCGACAAAATGGGTTTCAATGCACCCGAAACCATCATATAAAACCCGCACATCACCACATAAACCAAGCTTAAACCATAAATCAATCTCCAAAACTCACACCCAAAACCCCATTCTTAGTCTTCTTCTTTGATTTCAATCTTACATTTGTTGAAGAGTCAATGGGTGTAAAAATAAATCCACATATTGAATTGAGTTTATGGGGGTATATTAGGTATTAAATTTGGGTTTAAAGAGATATTAATAGTTTAGTTAAAAATTAAATGGGTGCAAAGAGTAACTTGGGTGTATAAATAGGTTAGATGAGTTTAAATAAAATTTCTCATTTCTTTTTAATTTTCAAGTTGTTAAAAAAATAGGTAGACGGGTGAAAAAAAAAGAGTAAACGGGTTAAAAATGGGTAAACGGGTATGCGGTTATAGTTAAATAGGTATGCGGTTATGAGTAAATGGGTATGTGGTTATGAGTATGGTTAACCGTTTATAAACGGTTATGGGTATAGGTATACCCGTTTATGTAAATACCCAACGGGTAAACGGTTATGCGGGTAAAAACTTAAACGGTTATATAACTGCGGTTACCCGTCCGCCATAACCGTTGCCCATCTCTAATCCGGACGGGCTGTTTAGGATCCTTTCCTCTTCTTTCTATTGAGCCAAAACCTGGGGGAGCTTTAGCACGCTCTTGATCAGTTCAGACATACCAGCATTCTACTGAGAAATCACCAGACGATTCCAATGTTTTAGTCCTTGGAAGAAACAGGTCAAGTTCTATCAAATGATTATATACATCGGTTTATATCATAGTGATTTTTGTGTATCATCGTTCCTCGTTCTTTTCATTTCTTTACATGGCCTCCGTCCCTTCTCGTCGCGGTTGCGGCTAAAAATTTAAACGTGTGTAAATCACAATAGAGAAGATATATATCTACGTTTTAATGATTGATTCAAGCGTTTGGCTTAGATTAGTTCTATTTTTACAATTTATGAGAACACATACTTGTTTGTATGTATAAATTGTTCAAAAAAGAAAAAAGTAAAATGCAAACTCTGGAATCATTTGATTTGAAAATTTAAGGGCAGTTTGATAACTATTTAATCGATGAAAGCATTCAAAATCAAAATTTATTTTAAGTTGTGCACTTTTAAGATTTTATTTTCTTTCATTTTTCTTTTTTTCGTCCTCTCTTGGTGCCATTCTTCATCTCCCCTCATATCTCAAGCATGAAAAGTACAAATCAACAAACAAAGATGGAATGATTATTGCTGGAATGTACCTAAGAGGATAGTTGGACCAACAAATTGGTCAAGGATTAAAATGGCAAATATCTAAATGTGGAAACCAGAAACTCTAACAAGAACCAAACAAATTTTGAAGTTCAACGTTGTGTTTCACGAAATTGGATAACTCAAGTGTACCAAAACAACGTACCCTATATGTTGTTTTAACTGAGGACTTTTGACTGACATGATCTTTAATTTCAATTTCTAATTGCTGAAATTATCAAAAATTAAATATCGACGACATAATAATCAAACATTAATAAAATAGAAATAAAAGATTGACGATAAAGTGATCATATATTGATAACATACTAAACAATGATTATTTTAGCAATTGAGATTTGAAAATTAATCATATATCTGCAACATACTAAAAAGTCATTTCACCAGAATTTCCAACAAGTAAATCTTCGTTATTAAATTGTTAAATAAAAATTTAACAATCGAAAATTTCGGTGCATAAGATTTTCTCGAAACATACTAGAAAATATGTTGATTAGGGTAACCCACTCTTTGAAAATTAATCATATATTGACAACATACTAAAAAGTCATTTCACCATAATTTCCGATGAAATTTCGGTGCATTAAATTTTCTCCAAACATACTAGAAAATATGTCGATTAGGCCAACTCATTAACTCTTTGAATCCCCAAAAGCCACACAGAAGTCTGCCATGGAATTTCGAGTCAAAAATATACTCTTTGTATTAAATGCCAAGTATTTCAATGAATGCAGAATTCAAATTCACATGGTTTGTTAATGAAGGCCAAAGAAAGACCTTTAGTAGTACCAATCAATGCCCAAAAATAGTTGACATGCATAAACACTGAAAAGGTCGTTTTTGTCCTTTTACGGAGAGATTTAGCTCGACTTGTTCAAACATTTTTACTTTTGAATTTCTTTTCTACCCATTCACAATTGCGTAAGCATAACAAAATCCAACCTTCATCTTTAGAATTTCTTTTCTACCCCCTTGCTCTTTCTCTCTCTTCATTCTGCAACTCGATCTTTCTTTCTCACTCTTCATTTTCTTCCAAACATAGAATTTGCCAACCTGATTTCCTTTCACGTTCATCCTTCACCGTCCTGGTTGCAAACTTGAATTTTTTGAATTGTACAATATTTTTTTATGTTTTATTTTCCTTTATTTTGGACTGTGGAATAATATTTCTTGTAATGCTTTGATGAGAAGTGTTAATGGCTACTAGCAGTTCTTGTAATGATTATGCGTTCTATCTGAAGGTGTTAATTTTTTACCATGTTAATTGAACTCTTGGAAATTACTACTAAGAATCTTATTGCCAATTCAAGCTTTCTGTTCTTTTTTGTGTAATCATGTTTTTGTAAGTGTGAAAGCATCTTCCAAATCCTATTTATATTGGTAGCTGTACTTAGACTGAACAACACATTATGAACTAATCAATTGTTGAGGAAAAATGGTTAATTTTGAGACATGATTTAAGAAGCACTACTTGTTTTGGTTAGTTAAAATTATATTTCGTAAAGAAATCACAATTGAAATGAGAAAGGGAAAGAAAAGACATATTTGATTGGTTTATATTTCCATATCAATATATATATATATATATGTATATGTATATGTTTATGTCTTTTTCAGATTGTGCACTAAAAAAAGAATTTATGTAGTAAGAGTAAAAAAAGAAATCCTAACAAATCCATGAAAGAAATCATTACAAATTTATAGAAATCTATAATATAAATTCATAATAATCTGTCAAAATCCATATGGAATTGTAGAATTTATTAAAATCCTTTGAAATTTGTCACTTAAAAGAGTCTATTAAAATCATCTGAAATCCAAATTGACTACACACCCTTGGTGTAACGGATCGTGTTTTCGGTACACTGAAAAATATTTCCTACTAGTATTACGCAACCAGAAGCAAATAACATGATGTGCACGTGACAACTTCAATAAAACTACATTTTAAGGACAACATGTGGATTTAAAACATGGTTTATAAAATTGATATATATATAGTAAAGAAGCATCAATTTGGTCAAAGGGATTCACACAATATTGGAGAGATCAATTAGGAAGGAGTGTGTTTGTAGGAGAGGAAAACCAGCTACGAGCAAAACATATTTGAATTTCAACGTTGTGCGTTTCAAGGGTTAGCACATGCAAACAAGATTGTGCATTTTGGGTAATTTTTGGTTTCCACTTACCGACCAAACCTTATCTTTTCTTGTTTTGAACTGGCAGAGGATTTTCCTTGGACTTGGTCCTTTCGTTAAATATAAAACACCGACGTGGTAAACTGGTTGAGGACTCGTGACATCATGGCTTAGGTAATATGCATTGAATGCCAACATCGTGCGCCAACCCCTCGTCAAACCAAATTCTCAAAGATTCCAGGATCTTTTCTGACGTGGCTTCCTCTCATACTTAAACCACATGTAATGCTAAATTTGAGTAATGTTATTTATATTATATTTTTGTACCATATTTTTATACAATTTTAGTTGACATTTAATGTGGACAACTATATCATTTGAATTAATCAGATTTTAAATTTAGTTCATTATTTAATGAACTAATAATTAATAAAAACTAGTTAATTAAATAATGATTGTGGTATACAAGGAGTCTTCATTTCCTTGGGTTTTGCAAATTTTTCAAATGATGTGACTGTCCACATCAGATGCCACCTAAGGTGGTATAGAAATGTGATATAAAAATATGGTATGAATAGCATTACTCGCTACATTTAACACATATTTGTATGATTGTTATTCATACCATATTTTTATATCACATTTCTATACCATATTATGTGTCATCTGATGTGGACAACCATATCATTTGAAAAATTTGCAAAACCCAAAGAAAGGAATGAGAAAGACTCTTCGTATACCACAATCATATGATTAATTCAAATGATGTGGCTGTTTACATCAAATGCCACATAAGGTGGTATGAAAATGTGGTACAAAAATATGTTATGAATATCATTACTCTTGTTTCTTTAATAGGAGTAATGTTAGGTAGATCAAATTTGTTGATCAATTTTGCAAGCAAAATGATGTGTTAAAAAAAGTACATTAATCAATACTTAAAGAATAGTCCTATCTTTATTATAAAGATAATACATATATAGTGAAAGTAGCATTTTTATTAAACTCCCCCCAAAGTCGATTACTCGTTCCCGATGTGTATTTCTAATCATAAATCCCAGCCATGAGAGATTTTTTAGTGTTCTCATAATACGGGGTGATACACTGTGTGTCACTATATAAGTGGTGAGATACTTGTATTAAAAAATTAACAACTTAAAAAATAAAACATATCATCATTTGTATAATAACACGTAATATACCATCCGTGTTTGGGACAGAAAGAAATTTCTCTCAAAACTCGGCTTTCATGCTCACCTTAATTAACCACGTGTGTTTTTCTGTAGGAAATAAAATACCTTCTACATCCTCTGTGTTTTATCCTTATCTTGCCTCGGTGTCTTCTCACCGTCCATACCGCTTCTAGTTTCTGGTATTGGTGGAAACCGTCTTATACTTTGACCTTTGAATATTTTGACCTTCCCCTCCCTCGGACATGATATGCTACAGCTACAAAATTAATTCATTATTGCACCTTTGACTATCGTAGTAGTTCAACCTATATAAACACTTCCTCCCATTTGCCTTTTTCATTCACAGATTCAATCGGAACGTTTCCCACATCTTCCTTACTAGCTACTTACGCAGACAAGTCAGAACTCAGAAGAGAAAGTTCATATTTGTTATATATATAGTTTTACACATATATATATCATCATCATCATGAGTTACAGTTCGGAAGAAAGCGGGAGTACTCCATGCAGCACATCAAACAGAAAACTCAAGGGGGTGCGCCAACGAAAATGGGGCAAGTGGGTGTCCGAAATCCGAGTTCCGGGGACCCGAGACCGGCTTTGGTTAGGCACCTTCTGCACCGCAGAGGCGGCAGCGGTGGCTCGAGACGTTGGGTATTATTGCTTGCGTCGACCTTCCACGTTGGAAGGCCTTAACTTCCCGTTGATGTTACCGTCTTGTGTGAGGGATGATATGTCGCCCAGGTCGGTGCAGAAGGCAGCTTCGGATGCTGGCATGGCAGTGGATGCTCAGCTGATTGTCAACATGTCCCCGCCGCCGCAGCCAGCTGGAACTGGAAGCAATGCGGTTGAGACGACTGAGTTTTGGGAAAATGGTTATGTGGGAGAGACTTCGACTTTTACTTCTACTTCTATGAGCAGCTGGGGAGGAGGACATGGGTTTGGCAATGGCGGTGATCATCAGGGGTGCTTGAGCATTTCCGTTGAAGATTATGATCTCTAAATCTAATTATTAAGTGTCGTCAGTCAAAGTTATACGGTTTTTTATTTTTTATTACAAATGAAATTTTGTACTAGTTTACTGGATAAATTTAAATTCAGATCGCGGTCTGGTGGAAGGGAAAGATCCTAACCATTATAGCAACCCATCACCGCTTGTAATTATGAGTTTGGTCCATGGAAGCTTTAGCAATGTTAGCAAAAAGTTATTAACTAGAACTATGCACGTGTTTGTGGGTAGATTTGGTAGAATATATATGTAGCATTGTATGACACTCACCGTAAGACTAAGTCCTGCTATGCCAAAGAAATGGAAACAGACTGGTTATGATTTACAATACGATTTTGACCTCCCAAAAAAGGAGTGGAGTTGCATCTTTTTAATATTGAAAAAGACGTAAGCTGAATTTGAGACCTCGTTATAAGGAGAGAGAGAGAGAGTGGAAAACAAATCATGAAATTTGAATGTACAAATAATGAACAAATCATGAAAAAAGAAGAAAACAAATTCAGAATTTCGTATGAATTCATTTAACTAACTGAATTATTTGAACGTACAAATAATGAACAAGTCATGTTTCAGATACTTTGTTGAATTCAACGATCCTCTATGGAAAAAGGCAACTGTCCTATGATGATTTGGAACCCAATTAACACTTCAATAAATTTATGGTGAATTTCTAAACCATGTTTTAGTGCTGCAAATTGAGCATATATTTTAAATCCAACAGAAACCCTAGAAAATAGTGCGATTCTTTGTGCAACCGGTGACATCAAGTAACCACTATTCACGAAAAGACGATATACTAACATGGAAATCATTTATACTATCGGTGGTGCCACTGAAACAATATATTGGTTTCAAGAGAGTTTCTCTCCACAAAGTGACAATAATTGTTTCTTTCCTCTTTTTGGGTTAAAACTACAAATATTTTTCTTTACAAATAACTTAAGCATCATTCATAAGATAGTACAAAGATGCCCAGATGAACTAATCATCACTCAAAAATGAAAATTCTGAAACAAATGTATACTTAATAAGAAGCGCTTGTTTGGATCGATGTTTGGCCGGAACATAGCTTCAAGATTGTTTCTCGATCTGCTGATTTCCTTCAACATCCCGCTGCCAATTTCGGAGGATCTGCTAACTTCCTTCAAGCTTAGATGTACTTGTTTGCACTGTGTTCCATTTTATGTTGGTCTTATACGGTTTGATTTACAATCATCTCCATGCATTTTATGTATGTACACAAAAAGGGGTAATTCAGATGAAGACGTTTTACACTCATGGAATCTGTTCTTACATACTTACAATCATGACATGACCCAAGGGAAACCAAAATTGAAATTTCAAAGAACTACTCAAAAGAAACCAACTTACCCGCCTGTTTTTCGAGTTTGAACTCCGCTAGAATTTGTAACAAAATCTTGTTCGAAATAGTCAAGGAAGAAAACAAGTGCCAAAATTTGAAGATTTTTTCTTCTGAGCCGAACCAAAACTTAAAAATTGAAAACAAAACGGCACCAGTCACCACCATACAAGTAGGAGTTTCAAGAGAGCCATCCTTATACATAGGCCGTTCTTTGCTTGTCTGAAATAGGCAGCTCGTGGATCCCCATCAACATCCACGGTAATCTGCACGACATTCATCAAACAAATGCGATGCGTAATAAAAAAAGAAACTTTTCTATCAAATTGATATACAGAATAAGCAAGCAGGAGGAGAGGCAGTACCAAAAACACAACCAAAAGAATCTCTGGTGCTTCTCTAAGCCAGAATGCTGAATTTCATCACCTGGGTTCAGTCGAGCATCATCGATTCATCATTCCTCATAGCTTTTATCTTCACAGCCCTTCTTCTCAACCCGTATAGTGATTCGAAAAACGAAGCATCTGCAGAAGAAAACAAACAGAACCCAGAAAACAAAATCAAATTCCTGAACAAAGTAACGACAGAACAGAAGAGAACAGCCACTGATCGATAGAAGAGTCGGAATTCTGAAAACGTGCCTGTAGTTCGTAAGCTATGAGTTTCGAGAACGTGCATGAGCAAGGAGAAGAACTAGTCCTTGTAGTCGAGAACCCCGTGAAGGGTCTTCGTAAAGCTAACACCTGTGGTTTTTTGTTGAAATTAATTCGACATTAATTTAAACTTAATAAACAGAAGATTAAAAGATTGAATTTTTGCAGCATCCCACCAAAACCCAGAGAGGAACAATGAATCGAGTTTCAGAGAAAGGAAGGAAATGAACTTACGCTGATGGAATAGGTGAGGGTGGCGCGGGGACTGGCAGGGAGCTGCTGAGCCGCCTCCATGATGAGAAAGGTGGGGCGAGTCCCTTGGCCTCCCGCCTGAAACAACATCTTCTTTTACTGCAGAAGAGGACGAGGAGGAATTGAGTAAAAAAAAAAAAAAATGTGATATCCACACATCTCATTTTATTTATCATATACATTTTAATAATTTTTATCCTTTGATTTTCTTCAATTCATCTAATCCGACGGTCGAAAATTAAAAAGGTGTGTAAGAAGTAAAATGAGGTGTGTGGATATCACACCACTAAAAAAAACTCTGCCTTCCCTCTAGAATTTTGACTGTTTGAAGTACAAATTTCCACCAAAAGCATGCCAATGCCATACAATTATCAATTTATCCATTTTTCTCTCTCTTTGGGAAAAATTGGGCCCAAATATGTAAAGTCCAATCAAAGAGACCATTCTTTCTCATCATATTGATAATAAATAGATATCGTGTGTGTAGAAACCACTGTTCTAAAAATCGACCTAGGCGATGGGCGGCGGAGCACCGCCCAGATTTTGGGCAAGGCATCATGAAAAATTGGCTGGAAGCTAGGCGGGTTAGGCGGCTGGGCGGAGTTAGGAAGCTAGGCGTTTTTATTTTTATTTTTATTTTTATTCTAACTTAAGTTCCCTTTTTCCCTCGTGTCCAATCCCCTATTAGCGTAATTTTCTAAACATAAGTTTCTTTTGTTCTGCTTTTTGCATCTATCTCGATATCTCGTCATCTTCGACTCTTCGACCGTCCCACTCTCGAATGATCGAATCATTTGATGGGCATCATCTCTTGACTTCTTTACTGGGCATATCATCTCGCCTCTCCAGATTTCCACGGTCCACCACTCTCATTTAAGTCATTTCCACGATCTCCACCTCTTGCAGCAGTTGCATACTTGTAGGTTAGCATTTTCCATATTTTATTCGAAAATCTAATTGATATTTGATGCTAATTGCGATGATTTGCTGCTCTGCAATCTGCATTGATGATTTGATATATAATATTGAATCTTTGCAAGGAATCGAGATGCCCAGCAGCTCAAGTGAATCTCACTAGTTTTTTTCAGATTTTTTTTTTATGCAAGATCTGTAATCTGGGACTGGGAGTAAATTCTAATTATATAGACATTATATTGTGGTGAACCGTGAACTGATTCATGAATCAGATTCATACCAAATTAATACAATTAGACTACATTTAGTATTTGCCCCTAATTGATTGATTGGATTTCTAGTTTTTTTTCTTTTCATTTTCTTTATTTAGTTTTGGGTCTTATTTTTTCTTTCGATTGTGTTAGTTTTCTCAATGGGGTGTCTGATGTGTGGATTGAGTGGTTGCATTAAACACTGTTTGATTGTGCAGTCATATGTTTCGATTATCAGCAGTTAACACTATTCAATTATGTAGTCATAGTTTAGTTAAGAGAAGGATTAGAGTTCCCAATTTGATTTGAATGAGTTGCATACCAATATACCACGCATCAATGTGGTTGAGCAGTGTATTTATAAATTTATAACACATGAGGATTACATTAGTAAGAGTCAATCTATTAGACGATATGGGGTGACTGATGCTGCATATGGACATTAGAGGCGGATAGTTCCCTAGAGCCTGGGAGGAGTTCTAGAAATGTTGAAGTAAGAGAGCTTCATGAAGAAGATTTTGTATCGGATGAGGACACGGAAGAAGAAGGAGATGATGAAGAAGAAATTGAGTTCGAGTCCGACATAGAGAGAGTCTTGGAAGGACGTGGAGAAGAAGAGATCGAGGCCTAGCTTTAAAACTGTGCAAGTATCTTATATCCTTATCCCTTTCATTTTTCATTTTATGTGTAATGTGTTTAAACTTTAAATTGTGAACTTGTTGGATACATGTTATCCAAGAACACTCATTTTGATTATATGCTTAATGTACTTTTAATTTATAAGTTTGTTGGATACTCAGTAAAACAACTTTCATGTGCTTTTAATTTGTAAGTTTTTTATATGCTCAATGACAATGTGCTTATATGCTCAATGACAATGTGCTTTTAAATTGGAAGTTTGTTGGATGCTTATTGCATATAAGTATTACCAAGAACATTCATTTTGATTGTAAGCTTGATGGATACTTGTTGCCTTGTTGGATACATATTAGGGGTGGGCACTTAGAACCGAAAACCGAAACCGAAACACGAACCAAATCGAACCGCACCGAATGGTTTGGTTTTGCGGTTTTGGAACGATTTTGGTTTTGAAACCGAACCGCAACATAGAAAACGGTTTGGTTTCGGTTTTGACTTTTGAAAACTGCACCGAAACCGAACCGCACCGCAAATATTAACAAACATTTAATTAAATGTCCATATAAAATTTCATGTTTTAATTGGTTGTTTGTTAGAATCCATGCACTTAGTATGGACTCAACCACACTAGAATATCATCATTCATCACTTTCTTTCGTTCATTAACTTGAAGGACCTTTGTTATTTTATACCATCACACACACACACACACACACACACACACATATATGTACAAGGGTGGACTAATCTTGTTATCAAGAGTTGAATAATGATCTAATGAAATCCACTCATTTGAAGCATGATATCACATATTCTAGTATGAAAGTTTCACTCACGTTTAATGAATTCAAAGTTATTCAATTTGTATTATGTTATACCTTGTACGGGACACCCTTTTGCTGCACAAACATGTTTTAACATCACAATTGCATGCAACATGCTAATTGTTTATATAACAAATGTCTTTTTCCTATTGCTACTGGGAAATGCTTATCAATATGTTAAATTACAAATTGTACATTTTTTTCTTAAAAACCAAACCGAAACCGTTGGAAACCGCACCGAACCGAACCAAACGGTTTGGTTTCATTTCGGTTTTGGCTTCAAAACCGCACCGAACCAAACCGCAAAAAAATTCGGTTTCGGTTTTGGTTTCACTCAAAACCGCACCGAACCAAACCGTGCCCACCCCTAATACATATATCATCCAAAAACACTCATATTGATTACATGGTTAATGTGTTTTCAAATTGTAAGCTT